CTGTGAAGAAACACTATGACCATGTCAAGTCTTATAAAGGAAAACATTTAATTGGGCGTGGCTTACAGCTTCATTCTATTATTCCATTATTGTCACGGCAGGAAGCACGGCACCATACAGGTAGATATGATGATGGAGAAGAACCCAAGAGCTCTACAACTGTTGTCAGGCAGTAGGAAGAAAGACACTGGGCCTGGCTTGAGCATTAGAAATGCCAGACCCCACCCCCAGTGATATACTTCCTCCAATGCCACACCTACTTCCACAAGGCCACACCTCCTAATAGTGCCACTCCCTGATGACCAAGTATTCAAATTTGTGAGCCTATGGGGACCATTCTTATTCAAACCACCACACTCATCAACAGGCAGTAAAGAGTACTTTGTGACCAGGTTGGCCCTGTAAGCTTTCCTAGCCTCATTACCCAACTGTCAAGAAATATATAAGGGGTTTGAGACTTCTTTTTATAAGTCCAGTAAGTTAACAGCCTATTTCAGACACTGGCAGAAGATAAGAGCCTCCTGAGTCATGTACAAAGAATTTGTAATGCATGTCCAGCAAGCAGCATGATAATCAGTGTAATATTAAGGCAGTGGGCTCAACAGAGATGGTGCCATCCACAATGGGCTGGGCCCTCCTGCCTTGATCACTAATTGAGAAAATGCCCTACAGATGAATTTCATGGAGACATTTCCTCAAAGGAGGCTCCTTTCTCTGTGATTAACTCCAGTTTGTGTCAAGTTGACATACAAAACCATCAAGGACACTTAGATTAGTTGGTTTCTGTTTGTTTGTTTTTTAAGTCAAGGGTGCTTCTAATCTGAGAAGACACTATTTTCCAAGACTTGATGTATACTTGACTTCTGTCTGTGGGTTGTAGATGGAACTTGAAGGAAAAACAGTCTCTTCTCTACTCCCAGGTTTGGCTCAGGTACCCAGTTCCTCACTTAGAGAGACAGAGAATGTTTAAGAGTTCTGTGGAAAACTGCTTCTCAGTAAGTGTACGTTACAGAAAAACATTAATGGGCTCACAGATTTTAGTCTTCAGTCTAATTCTGACCATTTTGACCCACTTCAAGTAATTTACATCTTCTAGGGCTATGAAAGCACAGTGCCAATATACCAAGTACCTTTGACGTTTCCACATTTCTCCTTTTTTTCCTTTTAATTTGCCTAACTTCACACATAAGCCCAGCTAATCTTCATGGTTAACACCCAATATGTTTGTCAAAATGGAGTTTCTGATAAACCCTCAGTCAGGTTGAGGAGGCTGGACTAAAGGGGAGATTCTAAAGTTATAGACTAAAATGTCAGTTCAGAACCCCTTCAGGAAATTCAGTTCAACAAGGCTACAGCATGATTAACGAAGTAAAAATGTTCAAATTTTACAACATAAATAAACCAAGAACATCCCAATATCTCAAGAAACTGGGGTAGCAGCCACATAAAGGGAGCTGGTATATCATAACAGTCTAAGCTCCATTTTGTTCCATGACTCGTGCTTCTTAAGAGACTACCATAAGAACGAATCTCCATCCTCCTAAGAGCCTGTGGACAATGCCTTATGAACAAAGGGATATGAGCCAAATTCCAGGTTGGCCTCAATTATGTGTAAATGTCAATGTGCTTTTCCCACACAAGGAAACATATGTGCGTCCTGAGGCAGACCTCTTTTAAGGGGAAAGTAGGGTTCTCCCTAAGTTTGTTCACCCCAAAGGACAGACAGGAATGTGCTGTTTCTCTGATTCTATGACTAGATAAAATCACAGTTATGTTTATCATTCCAGTTCTTTACATTCTAGGCTTTATGTGTGCAAACTGTACTGTTTTAGAGAAGATCTCAATGTTTTAGTAAAGTACCAACACCATCAGCTTTTGTGTCTGTGTGTATGTTTTGGATTAAGGCACTTTTTTTTGTTTGGATTACAAACCATATTACTTGATAAATATCTGAGAAAAATGGGAGGGGTGAGTTGGAAATGAATCTCCCTTACTCTATGGATACAATCCTAAGGGGGAAATACTTCATGCAAGTGTTTAGTTTTCTAAGTATCTTTGTAATGGAGCAAAACCATGTTCTTGAAAAAAAAAAGTTTTCATTTTGGTGTAATTTAGTCTCTTTTGGTTAGAAAGGTCAAAAATAAGGTCAACTGTTTCCTTGCTGACACCGCCTCCATTCCCCGCTTAAAGTGCCCCAAATTTCATAATGCTTAGCTTTATCTACAAAGGTTTTTTTGTTTTTTTGTTTTTGCATGTTTGTTTTTAACTGTAAGAACTACTAGAAGTTTGAAGAGGCTCTGTAGGTAAAGTGCTTACCAGAAGAATGTAAGGACCAGAGTTCAAATACACAGGACCCACATAAAGCTTGGATTAGTAGTTGTCTGTAATCCCAGTTCTCCTAAATCAAAATGGGAGGAGATAACAGGAAACGCCAGGGGAGATTCAAGGCCAGCCAGCTTGTCATACAAAGGCCAGGAAAAACAAGGAGACTCCATCTCAAGCAAATTGGAAGATATGGACCAACACCCAAGGATCTCCTGAACTCCATACATACTTACATGTAACACACGTACACACACCATACATAACCACATCACATAAAAAGAAAGAAATACAATAAAATGGCACAGAAAGGTAATTATCACAACAGCCACCTCTAATTTTAAATAAACAAACATTAAGACTTATTCTTTATCTCTTTAGATAAAAAATACTTGGTATTTCCTCACAACATGCTAGAAGTTTGCCTACCATCGAAGGCATCTTATTCAAAGGACAGAGTTGCTTATATTGCCGTCTAGGTAATACAACATTAACATCTAATTTCCTGGTGTTAAAAGAAAGTCTACCTCCTGCTTTCAATGTATATTGAGTATAGAACATAGTACTTTTAAAGATATTTCTGTCTCAAAGCTCAAACTTTCAATCAAATTAAATAGCACACCCAGTACAACAGTGACATTAACTCAGACTACTTTTCCGCCTCAAATTTAACAGAGCGTATAGTTAGAATCATTATTTATTTTATGCATGTTTAAGAGATTTCAAGATTTCAGAGTTCTCTCAAAGGGGAAGAAGTAGGAGCCCTGAGTTACCTCCCAGAGCAGAGAGCCTCAAACTGTTTCATTGCTCGGTCCATGTATTTAAAGAGTCAGTCATAAGGAAACTGGTGGCAAATTGGCTCAAAACAGATGCTGGGCAGGAAGAGATCGAGAAAATTTTACCAGATTTTAAATTAAAAAATAAATAAAGAAAGAAATCTTCTAGCCACTTTGGCTAAACAAATCCAAGACCACCTACTCCACTATTTCCACACAGCTATCACAGGAAAAAGAATTGCTCAACAAAAATGGACTGGAAGGCAGTACTTCTGATGAGACACCACTGAGGTAACCATCTGGATTTTATGGCTATTTAATATATGCCAGAAATAAAATTACATACTTTGTCATATTATAAACATTAAGTAAGCCAGTCCACAGACCACCTACCATTCCCTTCCAGGATGTACAAATTCCAAGTATGGGTTTTTGTGAACATGGGCATCTTGTTAGGAGAGATTACTACTGGCAAACACAGGAGGAAGAGTTCATCTACCAAACAAAATAATCTGTAACTTACATAGAAAATAAAGGCTCTGTTTTTAGGTACGAAAGTTTGAGGGAAATATTTTGGTGTTTTGATAGAAGGTTTCTTCATGTATCCCTGTCTGTACTGGATTTCCCTCTGTAGAGCAGGCTGGCCTCAGACTCACAGAGATCCACGTGCTTCTGCCTCCCAAGTGCTAAGATTAAACTTATATACCACTATTGTCCAGCTTAAAATAAAAATTTTAAACAGAGAGAGCACTGAAGCCCTATATCTTAAAAGAAAAATTAATTAGAAGCTACAAGTTTCTTCATCACTTACAAGTCTCAACTTCAAAGCAATTACATATGTTTAAACTCTGAGAGACACTTCAAAAATGGAAAGCTAAACTTACTAGTAAAAAAATATGAAAATAAACCTCACAGCTGGAAGAACTGATGTTCGTAAGATTTCAATTAATAGTAATAAAAGTAATTTGATTATTCTTACTATGAATTCATTTTTATGGACAGAGAGACTAAAAATATTGTGCATTTCTAGAACTTATTTAGTTTAAGTTTTGAGACAATCTACAAAAAGGGATTAAACTAAAAATCTCATATTCCAATTGAGTCATCTACCAATTTCATACCCATCCCCCATATACCCTCAAAAACTTGAAAGACAAGTAGAAATATTGCAAATAAATCAACCATGAACACTTTTAGATTTCCCCTAGTGTACCACAAATAACATCCAGAAACCCGAACAAAGAGGAAAAGCTTTAAAGGTGCTGAAATCAAGTGCACATGACAAGGGAAGCACACTCAAATGCCTAACCTCTGTGCGGCACTGCTCATTTGAGGCTCCTAAGCCATGCAAGTTAATATAGTGACTTCATAAAACCAGCAGTCACAGTTCAATAATGATAATAACAACAACAACACAAATAAAATAGGCTCTGGGTAGAAAGAAAGTATCTATTTACTGCCACCTCACTGAGGTACATGAGCACCAAAAGCAGAAAGCTATCAGCATCTAGAATTAATGGGTACAGTGGTTTACAAAGAAGAGGTTTCCATAATGGACATAACGTAGACTCAGCAAAGTTTTCCCTTCAAGAAAAATATAGCTTCTGTTTCAATGAGTACTGATTAGACTTAATCCCAGGGACTGTCAGTAACTTTCTAAGCCAAAAAGTGAAGGTAGTAAGTTAACTTGACCAACAGTCAAGTTTTATTAGGAATGCAGGAGCAAATCCAAGGTGCAGTCAGCTTCCGAAGCACAGGGCCCCTCTGGAGGTCTTGGGGTTGGAATCTCCGCAGTTCTCAGGTTTTCGGCTTCCTTGCCTTCTGCATGGCCACTGTTCTAACTAATATGGGTTTTATGGTTAAACATTCCATAAGATGAGATGAGAAATATTGAGTATTACATAATTTTTAGAAATTCCCAGTAAAGTTTATTGGTGTCAATGAAAAACAGTTACAACTAAAAAGCAAACCAAGCAACTTTACAAAATGAGTAAATTCTAAATCACTATTAATTGCCTACCATATATCTGGTAGATACAATATTTTCTTTGTAAAAATATAAATACTTTGTCTTTATGTATCAGTCTCTGACACTTAATAAGGTTCAAAAGACATATATATCAAAATAGTCTCTAGAACAAAGATCATTTTGAAATTATTCAATTTTGATTAATAGCAGTTATTTATATAAAAACTGTAAGTCAGCGCAGGTCTTTTAGGTCATCTGCACACATTCACATCCAAAGCCTTTTATAAAACTCTCCTTCTTTCACGATTGTTCCCATCAGTTTTCACTCGTGGCTACATTTTTCTTCCTTGGCAATTCTTTTTGTTACACCACTAAAATATTTCTCACGGAAAGAATTATGTCCTTGGTATGGCAGAAAATGATCACTCAGCAGGTGTGAATACTCGTCCCGGTTCTGGAAATATAGAAAATACAAAACATAAAGACATGTCAGTTATTTCTTCCATTAGCCTCTTGTAACCATGCTAGTCATCCTCTAAGCAAGTCACAATACATTTGCCTGGCTTTCCAGTGTGAATACAAACCCTACATCTGCATCACACTTGGGAATTCCAACTGACATCATCTCTGGGCAAAGAGAACATGGTCAGACTACAACTATCTTGTCACTGCCTGAAATCATCTGGGCTATAGATAACACCAAAAAAGCTTCTAGTCAAGAAAAAAGGTATATATCAAGAAATTGTGGCACTCTGTAATGTCATAAAATTACACAAAACTTCAAACTTTATTCACACTCCATTAGCACAAGAGATTCAAACACAAGAGCTGCAGATACGGGGTGACTAGGGAGTTCCACACCTGTAGACTTCACAGATAAATAAGGGCTGGAACTCGGATACTCACTGGGCATTGAAAGAGTCCATCTGGGTAGAATGCCCCATGCACTCTGGGTTAGATGACAGGAGACTGACAGAAACCTGAAACATTAGTTTCCCACTTGATCTCACAAACAATTTCAAGTAGAAAATAGAAACGTAAGTAGAAATAAAGTTCCATTTCCTATGTATTTCTTTAAATTCACATTCAACTACACATAGACTTTTGGAAATTTACTGTAAATTCATTTATCACTTCACTGAATGGTGTCTTGCTTTCTTCTTTGGCACAAGAATCAAACACTGGCTCCAAGTCCCTCCCAGCCTTGCCTTTCTGCCCACTATTCTCCTTATGGTTCCCATAGCTACACAGGACTTCTCAAAAGACACCACGGTTACCTGCATGAAGCCTACTGCACCTGTGACAAGGACAGACAGAAGAGAAATGCAGAATGCCACAGTACTTGGTGGTGCCCCTCTCTCACCCCGGCTTCTAACATGAATTTGTCAAGAGGAAGAAGAGAAGAGTCATACAAAGGCTGTGGAACATGGGCTTCCTTCATGGAGGAAAGAGACAGCTTGGCAAATAGATTATCACTGAACTAAAGGAGATGAATAAGGCAAGCTGATGACACAGAACAGATGGGGGTGACCAGATTGAGTGTACGCTCGGATAAAATGTCACACCAGTATTTTGAGCAATCAATATAGGCTCATAAAAAAGAACTCTGAGCAGTAAGGGCAAGATGTATTTTTCTCCGTGCCACAGAGACCAGACAGTTGACAGGATCATTAGCCACCAAAATGCCAGTTGCTTAGGGAAAAGACGGATTCTCCTCATATCCTGAGAAACAGAGAGAAATCTGTGTTGGGTAAATGTATGAGTCCTGTGCTCAAATATCCACTTTCAAAACCAACTATCCCTCAGCTGTGGAACACAACATTACAGAAACTCCTGGAACCCCAAAGCTCTGAATTCTCTGAGCAGCCAAGGACCTAGCAATAGTAAGTCTTGCTTTGAGGTAAACCAGACGTTCAGGGACTCTGGTTAAAATTCCCACCTCTGTGGGAATGTCCTAATTGAAAAAGGTCCCTCATGGAACATCTATCGTCACAGAGAAATGCCATATAGAATGACATCACCACAATTCAAAATGAACAGCAAATTCAAATTGTTTTCTCTTTCTCTCCTCGCCCAGAGGTCTTTCAGTTCCTCTTAAGGCTCATACTTGAGTGATAACATTCAACTCTGCATAGGTTACACCTTACTCTCTTCTATTCACACTGCCTCCCGTCTCCATCAGCTAGGACAGCTGGAGGGTAGGCTTCTGGTTTGTTGCTTTGTCTTTTATTTTATTTTATTTTTTTTAACTCAGTATCTTGAAGGCCATCATGCTTTTCTGAAAGAAGAAGGGTACTCTCAAGCAACAGTCTTTGACCTTCTTCATTCACTCAAACCTGTCTGGTGTTTTACATTTGGGTTGTTCTAACAGTTCCAAACCCACCTACAGTGACCAATCATGGTATCTATTATTTGTGTATTGCAGAACCACAGTTCTGTACATTTCTAATGAACATGAAATACCGCATGCATATGAAGTAAAAAGTCACAGCTGGGAACCAGTAAGTGAAAGCCGTGGAGATGAAGAGTACAGCCATACTGCACCACCTTACAAGTACAGCGCTGTTGGTAAGAACAGGGGTCAAAGAGAAATGAACAGCTGCCTTCCCTGGGAAGCCTGCCGTTCTCTCGCATCACCTCCTCCTTAAGTAAAGCTTGCCTCGGCTTATACACTCTTGCCTCCTGTCATTTCTCAGCCAGTAGCTAAGCTCAGGAGGAAAACATAGAAACCATCAGAACCAACAGTTCCCACATCTCACACCTTTCAAAGACAATCAACAATTGTAAATGTTACAAGAAAGAGACAAGTTCACTCATAAAAGAACTACTATGTATTTGCTATCAACTGGGTCTTGTCTATGGTAATTATTTAATTTTCTGCATTCTTTCATCTATGTTTTGGAGATAGGGAAACAGAGATTGAAAGAGCTTGAACAATATGCCCGAGGCACACAGCTGGGAAGCAGCACCGCCCGGCTGCTGCCTAAGTCACACATCAAAGGCTCAATGCTTTTCTCATTATTCTTCTGTCCTTTTTAAAAACTAGACGTTATATGAACACATATAGATGACTCAGTCAATTTCCCACATGGTAGATTAGCATGGTAGATTAGTGGGTCCTTCAAAATGGAGTCTGACATTTAAAGAACATTCCTCCTGGAACAGCAACATTATGGTAGCACACACTTTACGTCTCAGCTTTTACACAGAACCTCGTAACCACTGTCCTATCAGTATTGCCAATTCTAAACATACGCCATCTAGGAATTCTAACACTTGCCAAAGGAGCCTCACAAGTTAGTGGTTCACTTTCATGCATACACTACCCTCTGCTGGCTAATGCAGATAGTTCTTCTTCATGGGATTTCCTGATGTAGACTGAAACCGTTTCCAGCTGTGAAGACTGCACACCTGACCAGCAGGGGCATCCTGCTTCATTTGCTGAGAGTCTTGACTGTTCAAAAGACCTTCTGTCCTACAGCCTTCCTGTGGCCAGGATGATCACGTCAGACAGTATTAGCATCTGTGCACAGCATTTCATCCACAAAGAATGATGCAGAGCTAGGAAAACAACACACACACTTGAGAGATGCTGAAGTGGTGCCACTCATCTGGGTGAAAAACAAGTCCTTCTGTAGAAGGAGAAAGGAAAAGCACACAAAGTAGCCCATAGTCACATGAACTGTGTATGTTGCACTGCTTCCAGCACAGCTGAGGCAGTGTCACTATTTACAGCCCAGGCTGCCCTTGAACTTGCTAGCTTCCTGCCTGTGCCTCAGCACGCAGAGGTTACAATCTCATCTAGGTAACTGTAACTTTTGTATAACTTAGGTCTACATTAAAAGGCAGCATTAAAAAGAACTTAAAGGAAATTAAAAAGAAAGTGTTTCATGTACTTATAACTTTGAGTTGGAATTTAAAAGAAAATAAATTGTCAAGAAAAGAAACTACATTATCATCCAGTAACACTTGAAATTGCCATTTTAAGTAGAACTAAGGACATTCTGGATTATAAAAAGGATGTATCTTTAACAGTGTGTCTCAAAAGATATGGTACACTGTTTAGACTGGAAAGGAAGTGAAGATCTTTGCTGAAAACATTTAGGTAAAATTTCCCTAATTTTGGCCTTCCCTTGCAATTCTGCCGTTCTCTTCCCTCACCTCCTTAATAAAAACAAAGGTGGTACGTTTTCTACTTCAGCCGCCTCTGCTTTTACTTACATGGCAAGTGAGCCTACTAGATAATATAAGACTAAAACAGTCTGTGCCGGTGACTTCAAAGAGCAGACTAATGGTAAGGTTTAGTTTATTCCCAACAGGAAACTTCTAACTAGCCCTAATTACCTGTTTCTACTCCTCCTTAAAATGGATTAAATATTGTTCATTATGATTATTTTAAATGAGGGGACCCAAATGATCACTAAACAGTCCCTTATACACTAGACAGTCCCATATACACTGGTGTATTAGTAGGGTTCTCTAGAGTCACAAAACTTATGGGTAGTCTCTATATAGTAAGGGAATTTGTTGATGACTTACAGTCTGTAGTCCAGCTCCCCAACAATGGTCAGCAGCAGCTGTGAATGGAAGTCCAAGGATCTAGCAGTTGCTCAGTCCCACAAGGCAAGCAGGTGAAGGAGAGTGGGCTTTCCTTCTTCCAATGTCCTTATGTAGGTCTCCAGCAGAAGGTGTGGCCCAGAATAAAAGGTGTACCAACACACCTGGGTCTGGGACTTGCCTTAGTCTACTGGAACTAGAGGCATGTACAACCTTGCCTGGGCCTAAGCTTTTCATAGCCACTATGTCTCAAGATCAGGATCACAGGTGAGCCTTCCAATTCTGGATTGTAGTTCATTCCAGTTACAGTCAAGCTGACAACCAGGAATAGCCACCACAACTAGACAGTCCCATAGACACTAGACAGTCCCACAGACACTAGACAGTTCCATATATACTAAACAAACAGTTCCACATACACTAGATAATTCCATGTATACTTGTATATAGTGAGTAAAGGCATGGATGTCTGTGAGTTCACAGATCTTGGTGGGAGACAGACATTAATGACATACCTCCAAGCACACTGGTGTTAACTGGTGGGGTGAAATGCCAACCGTGGAAATACAAAGGATAAGAACACTCAATCCAAGAGCTGAAGAATAATGTAAACTTTATAAACACTCAAAGGCAAAACACTATGTAAAGAAACTGGAAATGGAGAAAAGCGAGCCCATTTTGGAACCTGAAAGGAAACTGAAGGTTAAGGCGCAGTGAACAGAAGACAAAGCGGCACCAACTACACCTAAAGACAGTACCAGGAACAGATCAGGGTAATGCAGATGCTAGCCAAGAATCTGTAATTTCATTCTGAACTCCACAGAGTCACCAAGGTAATTTAAGAACTACATTTTCATTATTTATTCCCTTTCTGAAAAACATTTTGGCCTACTGTCC